CTTTAGAGTTTGACTGTGTTCTTCTTCCTTTTTCCGTGATATGACCCATGTTTTCTATACAGATGTCTCATATTTGTTTTTCTCTCTCCATTCAAATATCTCCAAAGACGCTGTGTCTTGTGCCAGGTCCACATGCTCTAAACTGCAGGAATCAATCTTCTTTCCAGTCTGGTAGAGAAGAGGGGAAAGTATTGTGAAAGAAGCAGGGAGGGGATGTACAGTGACATCATCAACACGAGCCTACAATTTATGCAAATAACTATTTAATCTTATTATTGTAATCTTTGACCTTCTGTATCCCCCCACTAGTGTTTGTTTCTTTCAGTCATTCTCTTATGACTAAAATTAGATTGTAAGCTCCTCTGGACAAGGACTTTGTGTTTTCTATGTTCAGTGAAATGCCTAGCACACATTTTAAAGTCTTTTTATCCTTCTTTAAATCTACCTAGGTGATTAAGGGTCAAAAGATTTTTTATCACTTTTGACATGTTTTATGGCTTCTTTGAAAGGATTTGTTGGTCATGATGTGTCTCACAACAAGTGCTCCTATCTTATTTGGCACCCTATTTAACAACCTTATTAGAAAGACCAAATATTTAATGGTCATGTATCTATCATTACTGTCCCAACCTAGTAGTGATTTTTCTGGGTCAGAATTGAGTCATGATGATGAGAGTTAGTAACAGCTGCCTTCAGTCTATGCATGTTCAGTAGGTCCTGTGGTTACCTATAGAATGACTTAAGTTTTCAACGTTTCTAAGTTTATAGTTAGTGTACAGAATAGTTTGGAAACACTAATATACATTTAGCTATCTCAGGCAACAGAAAGGTTGAAAGGCTAACCAGTGCAAATGGATTATCATTCCATGATATCAGTCGGCCAGTTGTCTTGAATAAAATAAGAAGAAATTGGCAGAAGTTATAAGGTCCAGTGTTTGCATTATGAGAATGGATTATTATTTTACATTTACATTATTAGACTGGATGCTGGGCTAGCAGATTAGTGAGAAATATACTTTTTCAGCTTGGTGCTCTATTTAAGATTAAACTATCTCAAATGTTTGTTGAGAGTTAAAATCCAAATCTATCGATATATAGTCCACAACAGATTCAGAATGCTGGTTTACATCAAAATCACACTATCCAGAGAATATTAAATACTATCTTAGTTATGGGTGAAATCTTGACTGCATTGAATCAATACAATTTATTGGGACCAAGATTTTATTGTATAGATTTAGATAAGTTAATTTTCTGATTGTTTGTAAAGTTATTGCAAACAAATCAGTAAAAAATTATTTTAAAAAAATCTGGGTTAATGTTTTTTGTACTTGCTTTATATAATTTTATGAACTATGGAATACTAACAAGTACTGTGGCAATATTGGAGTTCAAGGAAACAAAAAAAAAAACAACAACAAAATATTATATAGTATACCTAATAAAAATGAGAAAAGAAAACATAGAAAAGAAAAAGACCACACCAGATAAGTGTACTGCATAAATCAAAAGGGTTTATGTCATAACATGAACATGTGCCATTTCTGCTCATATATTGAATTTCAGTAGTCGGTTGCATAAAGAAGTAAAGTGTAATGAAACTGGCAAGCAAAGTATTCCCCAGTCAGCCTTATCTTTGTTCCATTTGTCCTTCAGATAGAGCTTTTCTTGCCTTTTTCAATAAAATCCATCCAGCTTTTTTATTTTGCATCTCTCTGTAACTGAGCTGAGAAGACCAATGAGATTCAATGCTTTTCTAGTTCAGTTCTTAGCAGCTGCTTTTTAAGAGATCAAAACTTAGAATGCTGCTACATGGTATTAAGGCTTAGCTATTGATGTGTCCCTATAGGGGTTATGTTTTTCTTGTGGGGGGAGAAGGGGAGGAGAAGGGTAAAGGGTGACCCTTTTGAGCATGCTCATAGACAGTAAACACTACTCTCCTTGTTTCTCAGGATCCTCTTTGCGAGCTCAGTGCTTAACCTGACTGAACTTATTGCCCTTCGGCCTGACCTTGGCAAATTGAAAAAGGTCCTTTACTTCCATGAGAACCAACTGGCATATCCTGTCCAGAAATGCCAAGAAAGAGATTTCCAATATGGATACAACCAGATTCTTTCATGGTAGGTGTTTCTCACACCTCTGTGTGTTGTTTAATGTCTTCTGTTAGGCACAATCTTTTCGCGTTTTAAACCTGGGACACTCTACACTAGTTAAATGACAACACTATTATAAATTGCAATACAGTTAGAAACAGAGTTCTGAGATCTAACTAATAATGTCCATTGGGAGAAGCAGGTTATTAACTACTTTAGATGAAACCTCACCTCAAACTATCGTTAAATTCCACCTCTGTGACATAGACCTTCCATGGTACACTTACGTTACAGTTATTTTTAAGTTATACCTTATTCATAACAAAAAAAATGTTTTGCTTCAAGCATACTTAACAGAGTAGCAGCTAATCAGCTCTTGCTTAGCAATAGCTTTTATTGCATCCAACTGAATTAAAATAGAGTTTTTCAGGGGAATGAGCAAAAATTAAAACATACTGCAGCATTTTTCTGAAGGAGAGAGGGCAGTAAACATACCAGATAAATCTTTACATTTCTTTCAAGTAGAATTCAGAAATTGTGCAGTGCTAAAATACCCAGACATTTTAAAGGCTCTAGTCCTTCATTGTAACTTAAAACAAATGTATTTTCTGAATTTAAGTTAATGAAAGAAGTTAATAACAGCGACACTGAAAAGCTTTGTGATTAGACACGAGAAACCTAAATGAAATTGCAATGCTGAATTGGGTTGAATTGAAATAAATTCATTTGCTTGATCTCTCTCACCTATTTGTTATTAGGAAAGTTATTAGAAACATAGATTGTGCATTTTTGAATACATGTAAAACATTTGTATCTTTATAGTATAAGCCAGTTCCTATTCATATTTCCCCAATGATAATCTTTATATATTCTCAACATTCTGTAAATCTGTTTCTGCCACTCCATGTGCAAAGCATTTCAGATTTTAAGTACCAGTGATATGAAAATGTAATAAAATATTGCTTTTGTAAAACGGTAATAGTCATTTTCAGATTTCATGATATAAGGCAGCGAGGCAGTTTTGGGATATATTTTTTAAATATTCTTTTTATCTTCTTTCAGTATTTTGTGTGATGTAATTTCCTCATAATTTTTGAAATTATGGAACCTTTCCAGTGAATTTGCTCTGCAATATTTCCAGAAATATGCATTTTAGACCACAAAAGCATGCAGTAATCTATTTTCGTTTTTCCTTTGTATTACCATTAAATTCTTGTTTCAAATAGGAAAAAGACTTCTGCAAATACTTGTTTTCCATGCTTCTTTAACCAACAATTGCCTCCTTACATTATGGCAAATATATACTAAAATATTTTGAACACTATTGTTTGCAAACAGCTTAATTTTAATGGCAGGGGGAAAAGTTGTTTATGTCTACAAGTGGTTACCTGCAAGGAGGAAAAACCTGTGTCTTTTTTTATCTGCTATATAAAGAATAACAGAAGTCTTAGCCTCTCTTAATATTTTAAGCTTTGTTCTGCTTGTTTTTCCTTTAGAAATATAATAAATATTATGTCTTTGTTCAAAGATTCCTTGGCGGAAAAGACTACACTCAATTTAATGTTTTGACTCTTTAGGAAAAAGAACTCTTCTCCCAAGTGATCATTGGGAGTTTCCATTAGATAGGTGTTAAAAACACATTTTAAATGATCTGATTTAAAACTTTCCTTTTAGTTGCTTAGACATGAATTTGTTGTAATCAGAACTCTCTGATTTTCTAGTGGTACATAAAATCTCCAGTAAAAACTAATATTTCTAATGTATAAAGGAAACAGAGAGAAAAACATTTCAGGCTTTGTCTGAGGAAAACACATGGTGGGAAATCATAAGTGAGAAGTAATGGGAAATTTCGTGAAATAGTTCAGCTCCTGTAGGTTACTTGAAAAAGATTATTTCTTTCTTCTCAAATGTTTTCTTGCTTTTCCTGCTTTTGTGAGCAGTGTCAGTTTTCTTTCTTGATCGGGCAGCACTGTGAGTTGTAAGGATGAATGACAGGCTCTCACCTCAAATACACTTTTCACCAGCCCAGTGACTTATGAACACATGTCCTCAATGTATCTTATGACCCATGGGTCGGTATTACAATATATGACATACTGAGAAAACCAAGTAGCCATAAAACATTTCTTAAGTCTGTTATGGTATTACATTTGTGCCAGTATAGTTAAGATTGCATCAGCACTTCTAGATGAGCTTGATAAACTGAAAATCACAGAAGCAAAATAATATATGAATTATGATTTAACCACAGTCCGAAATGTTGGTTTTCATGTTTTATAGAGGTAATACTATATGACAAAAAGTTGTCTTGTATCAAATCTTCTCTTATGCTAATATATCAAAATGTTTCCTAATTAAATTTAGCAACATTTAAGCGATTACTTTATCTATTATTTCTCTATTGTAAATTTTGACATGTAATTTGTTTAATTAAAAAATGCTGCCACCTTGGATGGTTTAAATTAGGGTTATTAGGAACAGAGAAACACAGGACTGGGAGAAACTACCTAAGTCATGGAGTTCAGTCCCCTGGAATGTTAGGCAACCAAGTAAAAGATAACCATGTCAACCTGTAGTTTAAAATAATTATTGATGCTTTATCTGACATCTGGTTAACTGAAATTCTGTTTCATTAACCAATAGTAGATCAAACAGTTTTCTCTCCTTTTTCAGTACAGAAATTTACTTTTTCAGGATTTAGATGTCTTTAAAAACCTCAGAGGAAAAATAGTAACAGTCATATTATCCATATGATACAGTGTTTCTTGTGTACCTTTTTAAGGCAATAATATCACTAATGGCAAGAGTATTCTTACAAGCTAATTAATAACATGACCAAGAAAAAAAAACAGACTTTCCTCAAGAGATCAGAACTGTTACGATCTTTCAGATTAATAATATTAAATATTTGTAATTCTTTTATTTTTTAAAGTTTTAATGAAAACTGTTAAATAATGTTTAGAAGATAAGTTATTTGGAAAGCAATCAAGATATTCAGAATAAAAGCAGACTCTCCACCATACCTGAGTCAGCTGATATCAAATAAAAAGAAATTTACATTGCTTGATTTATCAGTTACTGTCACAATATTTATCCTATTTTAGTCCATTTGAAAATAATCCTGGGTTTTCTTTCAGAACGTTGCATTAATTTTCTCTGCTTTTTTCCAGTTTGGTTGCTGATATTGTAGTGTTCAACTCTGCTTTTAATATGGAGTCATTTCTTACATCCATTGGAAAATGTATCAAGCTGATTCCTGACCACAGACCAAAGGATCTGGAAAAAATAATCAGACCGAAGTGCCGAGTTCTTTACTTTCCAATCAGGTTCCCTGATGTGAGCAGGTCAGTACATTTGACTCCATTCTCCATGTTGTGTCATAAATTGTCTCAAATGTATCCAAGGTGCTTGCTTACTGCTAAGTTTTAACAGATAATTTTAAGAGTTGTTATTAGGTAATTTGTTAGATGTTATTGAGCTGCACACTCCATTATTTTATAAAAGTATTTCATTAATACAAAACTACAAAGGTGGGGCCTGATTCTCAACCACTGAAATCAATTAAAACTTTGCCCTGCCTAGTTGCCAAGTTGGTGGTCAGTGCAACTTGGCAACTAGGTAGCTCACTCATGATAATTTCCCATTGTTTGTTTATTAAAAATATCTTTGCATGTGCTTTATCAGCCCTATATTCTTTTATATGAAGAGGGGAAGCGGGAACAAGAAATTTCAGAGACTAGTAAAAGTCATTAGGCTATGGCTGACAAATTATATTTCCCTAGGTATAATGATGCAGGATTTTTCCCTCTAGCTCTGTTTTTTACGGCTTACAGATAGGCAAAAATAATTTCAGTAACATGAAGCAGACTTGAATATTTTGGCATTTGCTGGAGTTGTAGTTGCTCTTCGCTCTTCCTTAGTAACTATGAAGGACATTTTTTATTACCCTTGCTGTGGAGCCCATCCTGAAATTAGCAATGGGTTATGTGGCTCAAAGGGAACATTCTGTAGATCCTTTTCACTTTTGATTAAACCTGACAATTGTTTTTCCTAGCACAGAAATTTCTCCTTGTCTCCTCCTCTTCAGTGGGACCAGCACTAAATACAAATAGTAGAGTTTTGCAATCTGATTATAATTTTTAAAATGATATCAAGTTCAGTGCATTTCATGAAAGAAATATATAGCAAACAAAGTAATGAATTTAAATGGCTGTACTGAAGTCTGGATTTTTATCTGATGGCAAGGTTCATTCTATTTAAATACTCATACCTTAAACCCTCACTGCTGACCAGATTGCACTGTGTGCATCATTTCAAACTCTTTAAGTGTCTCTTTGTAGAAGGTTACCATAAAGAAGAGTCATTTAACTTTGGGGTCACAAATTTTATTGTCGTGTATAGATTTAATGCTTGCATTTAAGTTGCTTAGAAAATGTAACAGGATTCAACTACTTCAAATCTCATGAACATTACTGTCTAAGGTCATGCCTTTTGAATACATATATAGACACTTAGACCTAAACCCTCAAATGTATTTATGTGGCTAATGCCTAATTAGGCACTTTACACCTTTGCTTTTAGGGGCAATTAGGCATTTGAATTTGAGTTAGGTGCCCAAATACCTTTTGAGGATCAGGGGCAAACATCTCAATAGTCTGATTTTCAGGAATGCTGTTGGAACTAGTGAGAGCTGTGAGTCTGCTCAGTACCAGTACCAGTAGTACTTTCTATAGTCTGGACTCTCTCGAAGGACTTGTGCCTCCCGTTCTTTTAGGCATTTAAAAATCCAACTACTGGTGCCTAATGTTAGACATGTAGATACAATAATTTCAATATAACTATATTTTAATACATCATCATAACTATTCATGTAGTTAGGACATACAAACATACACACGTGATTCAGTTTGTCAGTAAGCCAATGAATGACACATCATTAAAAGAACTTCCTATTCTTATGTGAATGCTGATATCTATTTTAAGTGCCTTTAAATGCTCTTTAGAAATTAATAATAATGATTTTCCAGAGATAAAATTCAATATCATCGCAAAAGGCAGAGTAGATTTTAAAAAAAGAAGTTTTTCTTAACTTTGAATAAAGTTCACTTGTGCCCAACATTTACCATTTCTTTACAAAAACATGTTTCAGATAATATTGAATGCATCTGTGGCCCTGAATGCAGTTTATTAATATAAACTGTGTTACTGCAGTGCAATTCAGCTGAATGGAGATCGAGGAGAAAAAGGTTAAGAAATATCGTGGCCAAGCTAAGATTTATAAAGCAAGCTCTTAGCCCAGAGTGTTTTTCGAGTTATTTTCAAATGGTAATTTGCTTTATCCAAACCAAACTCATACAGTGTAAGTAAGTGATTATTTGCATGACTGACAATCATTTGAATGCCTGCAGTCTTTTTAAAATGCATAATTTTGCCAAGACATTGGGAAAATATTTAGAAATTCTGAAGGCAAAATAACTAAGGTGATTTTTCCCTCCTTATTTTGACCGCGTGTGTGTGTATGTGTGCATGCACGTGTGTGCATGCGTGTATGTCCCAAATGTATTTTTCATTTGGATCTTTGGCAGAGGTAATCTAAAAACAAAAAGCACAGCTATGAATATGATTTTGATTTGTAAAAGTTTCCTTATTTTAAATGAATACTCTGATTGTAGGGGAAAGTAAAAATTGATATAATATATTTGATCTTAGAACAGAACCATGTGACAGTAGCAGCATCTAGCATTTCACTGGGGTAAATTCCATTATGTTTATTTTCTTTTTGACACAGTTATTAATGGAAGAAATACAACATGGGAACTTAGGACTAGAAGGGACCTCCCAGGTAATCAAGCGCAGTCCCCTGCAGTAGTAGGCAATCATGTAATAATAAACATTTGTCCAAAAGGGTCGACAGGAACAGCTGCAGTCCCCCCAAAAGAGAGAAAATGCTATACCAAACAGATACATTTAAGCAAGAAATGAAGGTACATTAAAGCACTCGATACATTCTGATGCCGCAGAGAGCACAGAAGATAGTTTGGTTGATATGGAAACAAAACTTGAATAGTGTGAAGTACACCATTGTACATATGCACAGTTTATACTTAAAGTGACTTCACACTGCACGTAGGAACTGCTTTTTCTTCTTTGTTAATGAGAACAAAGTCTGTATAGGTTACTGATGCTGTTTCTTTATTAAATATTTGGAACCAATGCCTGTGTCTGCTAATTATTGATAAGATTAGGGGTGGACTTCAGGTTCATTCAACATGACTTTTTCACAATGAATTGGCAAAGGCAAAAAATATCTTCCATAGGCAGTACATAGGCATTGCCCCTCTTTCATTCTTAGCTCGCTACTTTCTACTGTACACCTCTCTCCCTCAAATGCTCTCCTATCTGCATTGCTTAAGCCATTTTTTTCCTGTTACTAGGATGGGACAAGAAAAACTATTTCCACCACTTTTCTTACTAAAAAGGAGAAGTTGTCTATCTTTCCCTTCCTAAATGTGGGTACCCGAAACTCTGCAAAAAATCCCATGCTGATTTACAGCGCCAGGGATCTTGCTGTCTTACTAGTTTTCTGCTACCTGGGTAAAGTATATGTCATTTTTTGATCAAAGTTCTGTTTGTTCTTCCCGATCCAAGAATTGCTCTAATCAACTTTCATTTACCAAACACTGGAGAGAGGAGAAGGAATCTGTAGAATAGGCATCTATCAGAATAGGGAATTAACTGACCCCATCTTTTTCTCAGAGTCTGTGTTGAGGCTGGTTCTAGGCATATGCTTCCCTGTTGCATTCTGCATTACCAGCGCTAGTCCTGTATATGGCACTACAGAGTCATTTCCTTTTTAATGGCTTAGTTATACAGTCTGACATAGTGTATTATATAGAAGTAATTATTTTATGATAACCTTAAACTTCCAAAACAAATAAAATTCTGAGTTAAGACTGTCACTTCAGAGTGCGTAGGTATTGCAAGGGATGCAGAACAGTAGGTGATTTTACAAGCCATATGTGCTGCCATGCTTCTGTACAACACAGCAAGTTAAGTACATTGTGGCTAAGAATTACCATTCATTGTCATTTTTTGTTTAACTCAGATTCCTTATTATACTGTAACATAATATTTAGTATTTAATTGGATTTCAGTGTCTTATTTTCCCTTCAGTGTTACAAAAGGAGAAAAGGGGGACACAAAAATAGAATTGTCTTTTTACTGATATCATTTTTTCTCCATGGATTTGCAAATGCAAATCCACCTCAGTGAACAGTTGTAAAAGTTCTTTGTTGATGCTTTGTACTAGTTTTTAACATCTTGCCTTCTAATGGTCCATCTGTAGCCATACCACCTTCATCTCACAGCAAAGTATGGTCATAGCAGGTCATTTCTTGAATGGGAGATATTTTGAGATTAATTTAGAAGAAAAGGGCCATATAAATCTTGTTTATTATTAATACTGTTTTAGCTGCAGTAAATCTTTACTATAATTTATTACAGAGGTATAGCAATGGAAAGTATTTTTCAAGCAAGATTAAAGTTATGGTCTAGCAACTTACAATACAAGATAGGCAAAAAATGGATGGGAGAACATATAAAAGAGAAATCATGAAAGGGCTAGGATTGGATTAGGAAACAACAATAGATGTTAAGTAAACCTTGTTAGTAACTTGCACCGTGAGTACTTAATTTTTTTAAATCGGAGATTGTAAATTCTTTTCTGTTATAATGAAGTATAGCGAAAGAAAATGATAAAGAGCACTAAGGTCAGACAACAATTTGATTCCTAGGTAGCTGTTGAGAGATTGTCTTCCCCTCAGCTATGGTGACCTCAGTAAGGGACTTTGGTATGCTAGACAAATAAAGCTATCACAAACAGGGGAGGACTGTCATCCAAAACTGACCACATGTGTAGAATCTGGATATGGAACTCACTGCCTCTAGAAATTGAAGTTGTTTTTCATAATTTGAGTCACCTGACATAATTTTAGGATGCCATAAGGCTGCTTTGGAGATCAGGCTGAAGCAGTTTGTCAATCAAGTGATCTGAATGCAGCCCTTATTACTCCCCTGAAATAAGCAAATATTCAGTGTTAAAAGTTGACATCTACTTAGTTGGCTTAATATGCCAGATCTTGGAAGTGTGCATAGCACAGGCTGGGAGGAAGAAGAGCGATAGGCATAAAGCTCACATGTGAATCCTTTCAGTCCACGGCTGCTGTATAAAGAGTTTGTCACCTCTGCTAAGTACAGATAGTCAAAAAGCCCAACACTGAATTTATTCAATCTTCACAGGTTAGTCTAAGCTGTGTAGATTGAAACAATAAGCAAATGAACAGAC